TCTCAACTCAATCTTTATAAATTTGGATATTCTTGATCCTAAGACACCCCCTAGCACCATACAGCTCTTCTTCATAACAGTTATTGCTGTTATCTGAGGGATAATTTAAATGTTGGCTCCTCTCATTAGAATGTCAGCACCCTGACGGCAGGAACCTCTGCTTTGGCTCATGGATGGATCCTCTGTATAAAGGATCATGTCTAGCATTTAGTGGTGTGCAATAAATACCACCGAATGAATAAATGAATGTGCACGTGAGGGAATGAATGAGCAAGCACCTTCCTGAAGGTACAGATACCTTCTCTTGCCTCATTTCCCCCCACCAGGTTTTCTCTGAGAATCATTGTTCACACTTCCAAGTCCCAAACCATAAAGTTGGGGGTTGCATGCAGTGGGCTGTGAGGTGGTATGACTCCTTACCATGACCGGGCTGGTGGTTTCATTTGTTTCCTGGTTGAATTATGGGGGTGGAGGGGAGCATCTTTGCAGCCAGCACTGGGGAGATCTCACTGAGTTTCCAGATCCAGATCTATTGGTCTCTTTGGGAGCCACTTGGTCATTGGATTAATAAAAAGACGTGGTGGTGGTGGTGGGGATGATCAATCCTGATTATTTACCATGGGCTCCCAGGAGAGAGGAGACGGGGGTGGGGGGTGGGATGAATTCAAGCCTAGCAGTCCCCTCCCCCTACCTGCATAGTCAGCCTGCCACAGCCTCAAACCGCCCTCTGTGGGGGAGCCTAATCATTTCCTCCGATCATCCTGGGAGGGGCTTCCTCTCTTCTCTCCATCCCATTCTCATCTGGAGGGGCACTTTCCATCCTCCACTACACCTTTCACAGGAGGGCTTTTAGACTTTCTTCTTAGCCCCTAATAGTGAGCAACACCTCTTCCTGTAATTTAAACTTCCTCCATTCCATTATGTAATACACACTTTTTTCATTAAAGAGCATTTGGAAAATGAACACAAACAGGCAAAAAAAGTCCTAACCACCTAAGCTTTCACCCTCCACAAACAACCAGTGTTAATAATTTGATGTAGTTTCTTCCAATTTTATCCATACATAGGTGTCATGATGCAGCATAATGAACTTTACTTTTTCCACTTGTGATGCCATAACATTTTCTAGCTCTGTAACCTCAGGCTGGCCTGGAACTTGCTATGTAGCCCAGGCTGGACTTGAACTTGTGATCCTCCTGCTTTGGCCTCATGAGTGCTGGGATTACCTATGTGTACCATCATACCTGGTTCATAACTTGTAATTGGTAATGTCTGTGCTCACTTAACCCTCACCTGTAGTCTCACTTGTAGGTAGTTTCTGGAATTTCACATAGCAACGTAATAAATATTTTTTTATGTGAATCTCACAATACCTTAAAAAAAGACAATAAAGGAGACATTATTCAGTGGGGAGCTATGACAATGGGATTTTGAAGTGGGCTAGAAGAAGAGGGCTTGACTCCCTTACAAAGCTTTTTTGATACAAAATCATTCTCAACCCCATTCTTGCCGATAAACCACTGTTCTTTCAACTCTCTGAGTGGAAGCGAATCCCCACTTTCCCCCTTTCTCCTACTCCTTTTTGCTGCAAACCAGAAACCTCCCTTTCAAGAGCTGATTCTCTTTTTTTCTTGCTTCTATTTCTTATCCTAAGTTGGCTTTTAACTATGTTTTATGTACTGTCTCCTTCCTTAAGTATCACATACCATGAATCACCTTCTAGACTCCAGGCACTTACAACTGTTTCATATAATCACTGATTACAAGCCTCAGAAGGGTTTATAGATAAGAAAACGGAGGCTTGAAGAACCCAAGTTGTGGAGGAAAGGCTCCCTCCTTCCTTACAGAGGCATGATGAGAATAAAATACCAAGAGCCAGGTGGAATAAGATAAGAGGGGCTCTGCTCAGGAAATGTTCCCATACCGGAAACTCAAACCATGATCCTATGGAAGAAACAACTAATCAATAAGGTCCACAAAAAGGGAGACAGCCAATCAAAGTAGCCTAATCCAAGGTATAAAACCTGCTCTCAACCCTGTCTCCCCATGCTATGCTCTCTTGCCTAGCTGCCCGCCATTTTCTTTCCTTTTAATGGTGTCCTAATAAATCTTTGCTTTTTCCTACTCTCCTATCTCAATAAATTCTTTTTACCAACCTGCAGTTCCAAATTCCACAGCATAAGTCATTGGCCAGAGTCACTGTGCTAGTCAGGGAATTTGAACCAAGGCTCATTCTCCAAAGCTATGTCTTTTCTTCCACTCTGCACTGAGAAGAGATGAACCCACCTCTCTCAGGTTTTCCCCCTCCTCTGCAGAAGTAGAAGAATGGTGAAGTGGGCACTCTTTTTGTTCTAGCCTTGGTGCCACACTGAAGCCTGAAACTTCAGGCAAGTCTCTTTGCACCTCTTGGTCTCCACTTCAATGTCTGTTATTGGAGGTAAGTACCCCAGATGAACTTGACTCATAGTAACCAGATGAAGACCTATGGAACATATTTACATGAAAGTGACTGGCCCCTAGCAAGGGACTGTGGGGCCAGAAGTGGGGTTCAGTGGGGTGGAGACTTACCTGTTTTGGGAGGTGCAAAATACTGGTAGAATCTGAATGATACATTTTTTTCCAGTAAAGTCAAGCAAACATCTGAGGCCTTGCTCAGAGAGACTGTGAACTCCCTTAAGAAACACTGTAAATCAGTTTGTAGCGTTTTCTTCTTTTGGCAGTTAGTGTTTTGGGGGGTGTTCACAGTCTTGCCTGAAGAGTCATCTGGTTTGGAGACAAAGGGAAGAAAGCAGTGTAGCTCGCAAACAAACATTACATTTTCATAATATTTGAGAATCTGTATTGCTGAATTTTCCATTTTTCTTAGTCTCAAATCAGATGAGGCATGGTTGTTTTAACATCTTGACATTTTGTTCATTAGTTTTGGTTTTAAAAAGTATTGCAGTAAAATATTATTTAACTCAATTGCTGAATCTTTTGGTCCCATCCCTCTGCCCCTTTAAATTTTGTGCTGTGTTGAGCGCCTCACTCACTTCATCCACGCCCTGGGGATGGGCTACAGTGTCACAGGTAAGGTGGCATCAATGTGGGTCACACAAATACTCCATTGATGCTGGACAAAACGTAAAGTCTTGGTGTCCCCCTCTTGCTGCACTGTGACTAGTTCTCCCCCCCAAGTGTTGCTAGGTAACCATTACCTTTGTGGGAATTTGAGAAAAAAAAAATCCTTCCTCAATACATGCTGGTTTTATTAAAATAAGGTACTTTATTTTTCCATAAAATTATAGAAATAAATACATTAAAAACATCCTTTATCCATGACTTGGTGAGGACACATCTGCAGAGCTCTGGGCAGAGGCAGGCCCAGTCCTCCTTGGTGGTGGTAATGTAAACATGTATTGGGGGCTGTATTCTGTTTTTAACTCATTTCCTCCCAATCATCTCAAATTAGCTTCAGACTTTCCTCTTGACCTCTGTGCTTTTTTTGGGGAGGAGCAGGGGGTGGGGTGGGACTGAGGTTTGAACTCAAGGCTTCACACTTACAAAGCAGGTGCTCTTCTGCTTGAGTCATGCCTCCAGTCCATTTTGATCTGGTTACTTTGGAGATGGGGTCTTGCAAACTATTTGCCTAGGCTGGTCTTGAACTGTAATCCTCCCGATCTCAGCCTCCCAAATAGCTAGGATTATAGGAGTGAGCTGCTGGTGCCTGGTTGTGCTTTTCTTTTGAAGGTTTATTTTCTCTTACCCTGGCCAGGCTATATTTGAAGACTCCCATTTCCCTACTCCAACCCCAGATATTTTCTCTTTTTACAAATTTAAACACCTATTTTCCCACCTTATTTCATACCCCCAAGCCCTGGGACACCAGTTTCCTTCCCAGCATCTCCATTCAAGATATGTGCCAGGGAACACATTAAATTCACCGCTCCCTTACTCCTCCCCATGTCTCTTTCACATCACTAAAAGAAGATAAGCCTCATGGGGGCAAGGACCATGTTCGTTTTACCTGACAGACTGACTTGGCAGAAGTTCTCAATAAATATTGGTTGAATGAATTAAACAAATAAATGATTCTAAATGTTTGCAAGGAATCAAACCCCCAAGTCCCAACTCCTGACTCCAGGTCTTTCATACTAGATCCAAAATGTGTCTTCAGGTTCTTTCTCCATTGAGATGGGCTCCTGTGTAGGACTTAAGGCCTAGGGTTTCCCCTTGAATCATAGGAGTATAAATGAAGCTGGGGTAAGGAGTGCTTGTCCTTGGCTGTACACACTTCTGAGTCTCCATGGATGGTAGACAGTTGTCTACCTGGATTTTTTGATTTTCTGCCCTTGTATGATTTGATCTTCATGACCTGTATATCCTCACTGGATCCTCTGAGGATCTGCACTTGCTCTTAGCCAAGAGGCCGAGAAGCGATGACCCTCTGTGAATCTGTATCCAGGTCCACTGTAACTCCTTATAAAAGTAGCTTATGAAAGGTCAAGTTCATGAGAGCAGAGACCATGTCTGATCAATCTGTATAAGTTTAGCACAGCGCCAGGAACATAGTTGGTGGGCTATTAATGTACCCATTTTTGTCAGATACACCTGCTTCTTCTGGACATGTCTATCTGCCCTGGCCTGCTTGTCCTCCTGGCAACCAGAATCTTGATATTTTCCCAGTCTCCAAGTGCTGGAACAGGATGGGACTTCAGGCCTTGTCCTGGAATTATCATTAATATGATAGATACCAAAATGAATATGGATATGTATGTTAATAGAGCCACTTCTTAGTCCTTTTCTTTGGAGTAACTGACAAAACTACAGTTCCATTTCCAGGAAGGGAGATTCTGCATTTAAAGAAGAGTTCCCAGCAGTGGGTAGAATTATAAGCTCCCAAATCGAAAGAGCATAAAGGATGGTTTATTCTGGAAGGTAGTCAGTGGTGCTCAGTCTTTCTTGATGCTTCTGGCCAGAGCAGTGAGTTTGGTATAAGACTCGAAGGAGCATGCTGTCATCTAGATAATATTCTCAAAGCTAACTTGCCTGGGCAAGTCTGGCGTCATGGGTAGGGACTGGGGACTCTTCACCTGTAGGCAGACATGGGGAAGCAGAACGTTAGGCAGAGCTCTGGGTCTTCCACAGACGACTCTGCATCCCCGACAGTCTATTTCCAAGGCTACCTAACTCAAACCTCCTCCATGCTTTCTCCCTGTTTAGCCACTCCTAACTTAGAGGGACTATTCTTTAAGTTAAACCCATCTTTATCTTGCTTCATGCTTAAGGACCCGAACTTTTGTTTTCTATCAGCAAGAAAACTGCTTTCAACATTCCTGTCTTTTTGGTTCTGCTTGGGAGAAGAAAGGAAAGGAGACTGGAAAATACCACTGCTTTTTCCAAGCATCAGTTTGACTAGAAGTCGGGTAACATAGCTAGGCCAAAGAAAAGAAGTGGAAGGCTCTCCCTCCTACAGTTTACTGTGGCTTTAGAGCAAGGTGGGGTGTCCACTACCAGTCATCCCTTTTTTCCCAGGCACAGCCTAACCCATAGCCTTTTTCCTCAATCATGACCTCAGTCAAAGGCCTCTGACTTCCTCTATCCTTCCTACCTAGAACCTCTCTCCTACTCTATTTATTCCAGATTATCCCCTTTGGACTCCTAAAACACAGTCTTCTTTTCCCCATATTTTTTGTGTAAACCTAAGCAAAGGGAATGGGGAGTTAGCAGGGATAACTTTTAATGCCAGAGAATATTAAATTTCTGGGCTTCAAGAAATAATAACCTAAACATGAACCAGGAAAAAGGATGAGACAATTAAGATGAAACTTAACTCTAAAGTTTCTTACCATTTTTGGAATCTGTACAATGGAATAAAGTGTATTTGTTTGATCTTCCTCTGTATTACTTTCCTATTAGAAAACAAATAACAAAAAAAAGAAATCGTCACCTATTGTCTGAGACACATAGACAAAACCAGAGACACACTCACAGTCCAGGGAGGGGTGAAGATGGAGAGAAGGAAAAGAGGGTTCTAGAACAGGGATGGGTAGTGGAAATGCTCTCATTGGTAACATTTATCATAATAATTATTAATAACTTTTTAAAGGAAGCCATTCCATTATTTTATTCATATTTTTATGATTTATTTTGTTTATTGCATTACTTTTACTCTGTTAAATTTAAATGAATTTCAAAAATATGTTAAGATATGTAAGTCTCATGAGCCAGGAGCCTCCTAAGGTGGCTAAAGAATAAACTGAAATAATAGTGCTAATGTTGCAAATACACTTTCCCAACAGTCAAGAGGCGCTTGGAGACACCAGTAAGGATGCCTATTATACCAAAATAAGGCAAAGCAATAACAATAATAATAAATGATCCTTCCCGATTGGACAAAAATATCCTGACTTGGTTAAATTTATTCCTGAACGTCCAGTATAACTCCGCAGCCTTTTGGGAATGTGTCCTGAGCAAGGGAGAAGGGGGGATGGTGAAAAAGTAATAAATTTTGATTGAAACCATTGAAAGGAGCTGTCAGAACACTGATGACTTAGAAGAGGAAACATAGCATTTCCTCTTTGAAGGGGGTGAAGTGCAGCTAAATGTTGTAGGTAAATGTAGGAAGATGCAACCTGATTGCAAGACATCAAAAGGCTGGGGTTTTGAACGTCAAAGTATTTTTATTATTTCATTAAATAGGCCACCATGGCAAAAGTATTTGTGTGTCCCCTACAGAGCTACCTCAGCCTGGGCTGCGACCATTGGTCCTGGGGAGCTTTTGAAAGTTGTCTACTTATTTTATAGCTCCTAGTTGTCTTTTGTCATTTGGGTTTCTTTAAATGTATTCTTATGATTTTCTTTTCAGAATTTTCTTTGAATTAGTTTTGTATTCATTCACTTTAGCCTGTTGAAGTGGAACGTGGGGAAGCCTTGAGTGTGGGTCCACAGCTACCACGGGCCCTCTAATGCTTCTGGCAGCTCTAGAGCAGCCCATCTTCTGACACCATGACTTGAATGAGCATCATGTCAAAAGCTCATTCGCTCCCCACTGCTTTATGCAAAAGGAATTGGATCTTTTCCGTGGCCACTATAAACTGAGGAAAGGAAGGAGGGAGTGATTCACGTAATGCTTTTGGCAAAAGTGTTACTGGCTGAGTCAGAACCAGGAGCTCCAGAGGCCCCCAACTTCTGAACAGAGTGAATCCAAAAGAAGTGGGGGAGACATAGAGATATTGGGTTTTATGGCCTATGCATCTCTCTTAACCCTCCTTCCCCATTCCCAAACCAAGTAAACAAGGAGAGCCTTGAAGATGTGGGTCATGCCCCAGGAAAGAGAAAAGGACTCACAGTGTGAGGGACTGTGTCATATACTGTGTTCACTTCAGAAGGGAGGCAGTAGTTGGGAATTTCCCGATGGACATCCGTTCCCTTCTTGTCTTCAATGGGCTCTGAAACTAAGTTGAGAGGTAATCAAAACCTGCCTCTCTTACCACTCATCAACTCTACTGACCCATTATCCCACCTGAATGATCCACTTAGGGAGATCAACCACCCCAGCTGGCCTGTAACTAAAGGGTTTGCCAGGATAGGGGATTTTCAATGTTAAAAATAGGAAAATACTAGACAAATTACTTCACTTCACTTCCTGAGCTGTGGGTCAAGGTGGCCAAAGTGGGAAGCAGAGAAGGTCAGAAACACTTTCAGAGTGCTTCCAACAAGGAAGGGAGATCTCAAAGTCTATAGTTCATAGCTGATGGATGCTTAGATTCCCCCCCAACACTGCTCCTGGACAGTATCACTGGGAGTCCTACAAGACAGATCAGCACTGTTTAGGGGCATGGAACCCAGACAGCAGCATGGATAGAGACTGATAATGGCTTCTCCGGGAGGAATGTGTCTAGGTGGAGGTGAGGAGGAAAGAGAGGTCTTGATGTTGTCTAGTGGAGAAGACAGGCTAGATTGGGGGTTCTAGAGATGAGGATAGGAAGAGCTTATTGGAGGGTGTGGGCTAGAGGGTGTCAAGGTTGGAGGCCATTGCTTTCCAGGTAGGATCAGAGTCTGCCGTGTCAAAAGTAGGGCCACAACAATTACTCCCTTTGAGGGAAGAAGAGGGGTGGGCATTGGAGAGGGATCCCGTCCTTAGTAGAAAAGGCAAAGTCTCCAGCTCTCTTTCTACTCCAGAGCTAAGGAGTACAGCTGACCGTGTGCTTCTATATTCTCAGCATCAAGTCTTGCACACAAATCAGTATATACTTGTGGAATAAATTATGAAGAAAATGAATGTATGAGAGTGAGGACAAAAATCGTGTGTGCTCTACCTTTTCCTCTTTCTGTCTGCATAATCAGAAGAATTTTCATCAGTACAATGACACAAAGTGGGATGGGCACCACCAGGAGATACAGGAAGAGCCTGGAGGAGTCTGAATCACCAGCAGCACCTTTAAAAAGAGAATGGGTAGGGGCAGAAGGCTAAAGGCATGGCTCAAGTGGTAGAATGCATGCCTAGCAAGTTTGAGGCTCTGAGTTCAAACCCCAGTAAGAAAGAGAGGGGCAGGGGACAAGGAGGGAAGAAATATCAGCTAGGGAAAATGAATCAACTTAGGGAGCAGTTGCCACTTTCCCCCCAGCCTGGTGACTTCCTCAAGGCCTCCAGTTTTCATATAAGGCCTGCTCCATGGGGATCAGGCGCTGAAGAAGACATGGCTAAGACCAGAGGCTTGTGGAAAAAGGAGGCAGTCACCTTTGCAGAGGCTCCAGGTACGGATGGGTTGTGAGGAACTGCTGCTAATGGGATTCCTGGCCATGCAGATGAAAGTCATGTCTTTTTCCTCCAGTCTCCAGGAGATGGGGAGGATGGGACCATCATGAGAAACATTGGCTGCCTGCCCCAGAGCCTTCCAGCTATAAATCACATCCTCTCCCTCCTGTTCCATGGAGCATGTCAGATTGGTTATGCAAGTACCATTCTTATTGTCCTGCAGACCCATGATGACTTTGGGCTTTGACAAGTGCTCTGTGAACAAAAAAGAACAACCAAGGATGGAAATTATGCCTATAGCTTTCCTTTCTCTAAATTATCCCTGAATACCTTCAACCTGACTCTCTGTGGGGGAGAGAAAGGAGAGGAAGCAGTAATTCTGAGCAGAATTTTTGTTCTTATCTGGAAGAAAGAACTATCTAGGTCTGCTTGCCCACAGCTATATAGCAATAATAAAAATAATAGAAATAGTAATAGAAATAATTGTGCAGTGAGAACTCAGCTGGCATTCACGAGGCATAATGCATGCCAATTGTTGTGCTAAATGCATTTTATTTTTAAATTTTTATTTATTTTTTTAATGTGCTGGGTAGAGTACATTGTGGCATTTACAAAAGTCCTTACTATATACCAAATATATCATACTTGAATTCACCCCCTCCTCCATTCTCCTTCATCCTCCCTGCCCCCTAAGTGCATTTTAGATGTTGGCTAATTTTCTTTTAACTTAGAGGTTTTCTTGAAAAGATTTTCATTGTTACATTGCAGGAGAGAACAGGATAGGTGTAACATGTCTGGTCTCTCTCTCTACCTTGTGCTCACTCCTCTGCTTTCAGATGGTAGGTAATTGGTTTATTGGAGAGATGAGGAGAGTCTGACATCTGTCATCTATCTTTCTCTATGATTTGAGCTATTAAAGATTGCTGTTTAAATTGTGGTTTCCCCTTTTCTTCTCTCCCCTAGCTGGTTTTTCTGCAGCATGTACATCTTTGGTTCCCTTCATCCATGCTTCTATGGAAGACACACCTGGAAAAAGGTGCATGTTCTATCTCCCATAAACACATTTCAAGGCCCATTTCCTAATATTGTATCTTAGTGAATAAGACACTACTTTTCTTGTAGCTGGTTAATAATTGTTTTGGAAGTTCAACTTCCTTGGATGGGCTTCTAGATCTAGACTTGTGATGAAATATTTCTATCTAGTTTTACCAGAAATAAAGCTGACATTCTTTTTTTTTCTTTCTTTGTTTCTTTCTTTCTTTCTTTTTTTTTTTTTGTGGTACTGAGGGTTGAACTTAAAGCCTCACACTTGCTTGGCAGGCCCTCTACCACTTGAGCCATTCTGCCAATCCTTTTTTGTGTTGGTTATTTTCAACATAGGAGCTCTGCAACTATATACCTGAGCTGGCCTCCAAATGTGATCCTCCTGATCTCTGCCTCCCAAGTAGGTAGGATTACAGACATGAGCCACCAGTGCCCAGCTAAGCTGATATTCTTATCTTCTTTTTTGCAGTTGTTTTTGAGACAGGGTCTCACTGTGTTGCCCAGGCTGGCCTCTAACTCTTGGGCCTAAGTGTCCTCCTGCCCACTCTCCTGAGTAGCTGAAACTTCAGGTATAAGTCACTATACCCAGCTTTTATTGTATTTGTTTATTTATTTTTGATTCTTTTGTCTATTTCTCAATTGTTTGGAATCTGTAGGGGAGGGACTGTGATCAATGCTTACACCCAATAATCTTCTGAAAGTAGGTATCACTTTCTTCCCCATGACAGCTATGGAAACTAAGACTGAAAGAAATTAAGTAACTTGGTTAAGGCCATGCACCTAGTAAGAGTCTGTGCGCCTATTTCCATGTTTCTCTTCCACTATGCCACAGAGCCTCTTACAGGATCTCAGCATGAGGAGGGACCTCAGGGGTCGGCTATAGCTACTTCATCCATGCAAGAGTCTCCTCTCCCACATTCCGGACAAGCCTCTGCTTGAACATCTCCTGTTGAGGAGCTCACCACCTTCCCACGGCAGCCATCACCATTTGAATTGGTTCTGCTCACCATAAACATGTAGCTCATACTCCTGGGTGAAGGGAAAAGGAGAGGATGAACTGTATATCTCCACACGGTAGACACCTGAGTCATTCTTCCTCAGTTTGTTGAGTTTCAGGGAGTAGCTTCCATCTGGGAAGAACACCCTATCCTTGTTCCGATTTTGGGCCACTATGACAATGGCTTGTTTTCCTCCCATGGCTGGTTGTATGGTGGCAAGAAAACTTGTGTTGAAGGTCCAGGCAATAATGTCAATCTGCTTTAATGTGACATTCAGAGGGAAGGTCACAGATCCACCAAGGGCACTGGGCAGTTTTTTCAGGGCTCCAGATGCTGCTGATGCTGCAGACACAGAAAATGATCAAATAAATCTGTCCCTGCCCTTACCACCAATTACTCGCCATCCCCTTTGGATGGGGGAGAACCTGAGAAACCCTCTCAGCCTAAGGCAAGCAGCATCTTGTAAACCCTTCAGAATCCCACTCACACTACTGAAATCAGAACCCTCTGCTCACAGTGGGAGATGGCAGGTGATCCCACCACATTCCCAAATACCTCTGACTAAAAAGATCAGGTTCTGAGGTAGACCAGAAAGTCCAGCTCCATCCTTGACCAGGTGTCTGTGAGGGGACAACTGAGAAAATTTTTAAGTTTCTTTTAGGACTGCCAGATTGTTTAGAGAGAGCTTAGTATGAAGCTGATGAAGACCTGCCTGACCTGGGGGCAGTGGTTTGCACTCATGGGTCAGGATAGTGGGAGGAAAGTTATCATGTACCTAATGTTAACAATAGCTTAGGAGTTTAAGGATATTTATCTATCTTATGATAGATTAGAATGGGTTCAAGGTCATCCCCAAATAAGGTTCTTATTCACTTGCATTCTAATATGTTTCAGTGGGAAGGAAAAGGATGAGTGAAGCAAGCCCTGCTATGTGTCCAGGCTAACTTGTGATGTTCATCCCAATCTACTAGGAATTATAGCAGGGTTTTCTTCAACAAGATTTTTTTCTTTCACCCCAGAGAGCACAACTTTCAAGCAATCATCAGTGATAAAAAGTAGTTAAGAATGACAGCTGAAGGGATTTCCAGAAGTGGCCATTTGAGCATTTCCAGTGAGTAGGGATGGGAATGAGTCATCTTCTATTAAAATCTGAGGGGAAAACTCTGGGGATAGCACAGAGCAGTGAGAGACTAGATTTGGACCAACAGCTTAAAACATATAACACAACACTTAAAACACATACTTGAGGTGTGGCTCAAGTGGTAGAGTGCCTGCTTTATAAGCTCAAGGCCCTGAGTTCAAACCCTAGTACAGCTAATATAAATGTATATAAATTTTAAAGCACTTGCTATGATCTTGTTTAACTCTTAAAACCCATAGAAAAATAATTTTTTTATATACCATCTTACAGATCAGGGACCTGAGACACAGTGGGGTTAAGTGACTTACACTACATGGTAAGTGACAAAGCCCACATAGTACCCACAGGGTTGAGACCTTAAAACATATTTTATAGATGGGAGAACTAAATACCAAAATATAATATTTTAAATTAATATTTAATTTAAACTAATAATGGTGTTAATAATTTAATTCAATTTTTATATCTGATTTCCTATAAAAAAAGTTTATGGCTTCTAACTTCATGACAAAACTGAGATTCAAAACTAGAACAGGAACAAGAACAAGACAAAACAAAACAAAAAGCAACTAAGTAACTTATCCAAGGGCATATGGCTAGTAGGTAATAATTTGAAGATTTAATTCAATGTCACGCAGTTCTTGAACTTAGTCTTCTACTATGACTCAATTTGAAGACACAGTGGCATTTGTTCCAGCTCTAGCCCTTTCCCCCACTCTCCTTACCTTACAGGGCTCAGGTGTGGGGATCTAGAGCCCTTGGGTATCATTAAACTCTAATTTCCCTCATGTCCTTTGGCGACCTTTCCTCAAGTATAAACTGTTCTCCCAGTGTCCCAGGGCCAGATAACCTGATGTCACCAAGTGCTGACCCACTCCTTTGATTACAGGTCTGAGGGTCTCTACCATTGTTTTTTGCAAAGCTTAATCTCCAAAAGTTCTGTTTTCTCTTCTTGGATAAATGTATTGTAGCAGCTAATTCCTATTTTCAAACACATCCCCCCTAAAATTTATCAGCCAGTGCATATGTACTTTGGTTTCTTCAAGTCTTATCAAATTATCCAGTTATCTGATTTTCCAAAAAGCTTTTCTCCCTACTTCTATAATATTAAGGTTACTATGGTTTTTAGATTGGCCTCTCTTTGATCATTTCAAAAAGTGCCAAAATAGTTCCTTTTTGTTTTAGGCAAACATTTATTTTGAATTTTTTATCAATTGATGCATTATTTTCTCATTTCAACAGCAGAGATGGAGATGGTAAATGTTTTGAAGTCAAGTAAAACTTGGGTATCGTTTGTCCCTAAGTGGGTACAATTCGAGGACTCAACCAACCTTCCAGCAATTTCAGGTTCACATAAGGTTTTGAGAAGGCCCTTAAGGTATGTTGCAATAACAAAATACTTGAGGTTGGATACTTTATAAAGATGAGGTTTATTTAGCTCACAGTTTTGGAGGCTGAAAGCTCAAGATTGGGTGATATCATCTGTTAGGACTCTGGTGAGGGTACCCTTGGCTGGGTCACAACATGGCAGAAAAATGGAAAGGACATCAACCCTGTACAGAAGAAGCCAAACACAGGATGGCCTTGCTTTATAACAACTTGCTCTTGAAAGAGCTAACTCACTCCAAGACAGCAGCAGTAACTGCTTCTGAGGGTGGTGTCCTCATGACCTAACACCTTCCACTAGATCTCACCTCACAAATGTTCCACCACCTCTACACTAAGCTTCTAGCAGGCAAACTGTTGGGGTAAAACCCACATCAAAACAACAGCATGGTGTGAAACAGTGAAACTGTAAGAATATGGCTTTAGTGTGTAGCATGAGTGCATTTAAACCATGAGCAATTATACTTTTAACTCTTTCACATACATGGCTCTAGGTTTTCAGGGTAAATGCCATGAGATGTGAATTGTGTGGGAGTTTAAGAAATGTCCCCAAATTCATTGCTCCTTGTTAGAATGAAATTGAAGGATAATATGGGGCAAATTGCCAACATGAGCCAGAAGGAGTATATTGTTCTCAGTGTGTCTTTCAAGATGGAAAGAGGAGGAATGAAAGAAAGTAGCTCCCTGCCATTTCCTAACTATGGATTCAGAGAATAAGGGCAGGGTTCATGTGTCCTAACTACGAACAGTTGACAGAGAAAAAGGATCCAGAAACAAGAGGCTTTTGTTTTTAGCTGTCCAAGGTTGAATTGAAACTTCTCTTTTTGTGCAGGTTTTGCCACTTGCAATGTGTGACTCTGTAGAGTTTTACCACACCTAAGCAGGTTGAATTTGTCACATTTGGTCATTTTTCCCTTTAACATAAATGCCACATTTATGCCAGGCATTGTTTAGGTGCCAAAGATATAATTGGGGAGCAAGATAACTTGATTCTTGCACTCATGGAGTTGGGAGACAGTCATTGCATAAGTAACTATATGTGTTACAAAAAGGTAAATAACAGGTGCTGTGGGGACACAAAATGGGATCAGAAGAGTCTAGAGAATGAAAGGCTACCAACACCTGCCTGAAGGCCCAGGAGGACTGAGCCCAGGGGACTCATCTACCTTCCTCAACTTCCTACTTTTCACCTAAGTCAGAGCAGTAATGTTGTAACTTGCCTTCTCTGCATCCATTTCACCCCTTTTTCATTTCATAGTAGCCAAATGGTTTGGGTAAGACTCCTGGCACCCCTCCATAGTCACAACTCCAGCCACAAATGCTTGACAGTACTCTGTAAACAAGTTTAGTACCCAGTATCTTTCTTGATCCTCAGAACAGCCCCATGAAGTAGAGGTTTAGTTCTCCTTCTGAGATGAAAAGACTGGAGTTGAGTGACTTTCCCAAGGCCACAAAGAGGTGGCAGAGAGCAAAGGTTGTAGCTCAGTAGTAGAGCATGTGCCTGTCATGCATGAGACCCTGGGTTTGATTCTGAGCACTTCATAGGGGGAAAAATGGCAGAAGTGGGATAGATAGTTTCTCCATTTCCAAAACTTGTGTTCACCAACTTACCACTTTGAATTTCAGTTTTCTGAATTCTCATAGGGCAAAGGCAATACCTTTCATATGGCAGGAATTTGAAGAGGTTGAAGTGTGAACATGAATCTGAAAGCATTTTGAGAAGTACGAGTAGCTTGCAGCATGGTGGGAGGCTGGAGACAAGGGCTGGGAGGCTATTTTAACACGTTAGTGTTAGGGGGGCTTCCCATTTTTCAGTCTCACTTCTGCAAAGTTGGCTAAAAGTGAGAAAAAAACTTCCCAAAACATCTTTGGATGGGTTCTGAGCAAATTGAATCAAGGTTAGGACAGCAGTGAACATTCCCTAGCCAACTTTCCTCTGGAGGTGGAGTTGAGGCACGAGACCCTTTGCCTTCTGCCCTGGCTAAGACTCAGATGTTTTTGGCAAGAGGGATGTACTCTGTAACAGGATGAGACAACAGCTCCTCCCTCTTGTCATCTCTTGGTTGCCCTTCCTTACTCTGATCTCCAAAGGCTAAAGAGTTGAGTGGAGGGAAGAAACCAAATTATAAGGAAAATACATCATCAGAACCAAAGGACCGGAGGGAGACTTCAGGGGAGGGGAGTGAAAAGCCCTCCTTTCCAGCCCTGTCCCCAGGAAACCAAGCTGTTGATGCCTAGTGTGAGAATTCCATGAAGGCCTAGCCTGGTGTGGCTTCTTCCTCATAGAAACCAAGAGCTGGGAGGCATTTTAGGACTACTTGGTCCAATTGCTTCTTGCAGATGAGGAGGCTTGTGTTCAGAGGGTAAGGGCGATGTGTCCCAAGTCAGTGGAAGGCCAGGAACCAAGGCTCTTAAGACACAATTTCCCAAGCTGTGTCTGCTGTCACCCTTGGAGTCTCAGTGCCTCTGTATTTCTGGGGAGCTTAGGGGGAAGTTAAGGGGTGGGGTGTGGAACAAAGAGGGAGAGGCTGTGGAACTGTCCCATTATCAGAGAGGCTTAAACTCTGTAAGTAGAGTCATTTGTGTGTTTGTTTCTGTGTAAGGTTTTGTTTTATAAGATGAAACCACTGCTTTAAAAACAAAGCAAAATCATTTGGAACCTACTGTCCTTAAGTAAACTCCCTTGGAAAGAGCATTATGTATCAATGCCATGTGAGACACACAGAGCAGTTCACCACACACCTTTCCCTACAGTCCACCCCACCCTGCCCCATTCACATTCAAGCTCCTTACCACTCTTCTGTCTCTTACTCACCTCCCCCTCCCCTTATCCTTGTTTCTTCTTCTTTTTGTAACACTCCCTAATGCCCCCTTACTCATTTTTCTGTTTTCCTTTTAGTAACTGTCTCCTCAAAACTACTTTATCACAAAAGATGAGAGGTATTCCTTTGTCCCTCTGAGCTTGGACAGAGTGATTCCCTGTTGGTACAGCCACATCCCCAAAAGAGTGCTACCTGTTCTTCTCGAGCCTTTCTAGTCCCTTCGTTGGGCTTGTGTACCTAGCTCTTACTGTCAGCTCAAATACACATTTACTGAGCATCTATCTGGTGTCAAGTACAGTGTTAGGCAGTTTGGTGTGATGAAAAGAGCAGTAGCTTTAGAAACTCAATCTCTCCTTTATTTCTTAATAGCTGTGTGATCTTGCCCATGAAACTTGGCCTCTCCTAGTCAAAATGTCCTTTCTACAAAACAGGTATAACAATACCTGTCTTATAGATTTCAGAGGAGATTGTATGAAAAACACCTTGGATGTAGTGGGTGCTTAAATGGTGATCATTATTGTAATTATTTTGCATTTGGTATCTCATTTAAAACACCACAATAATTCTCCAAGTTAGATTTCATTATCTGTTATGCATTTGAGAAGAATAAGGCTCAGAGGATGAGTTATCTTTCCCCAGTAATACAGCTACTAAGTCAAACCCAGGATGCCCTTGTCCAGGGTCAGTGCTCTTTCTGCTGCTCTGCCCACTGAAGGTTCTAGGATAATCTCTGACTCTTTTCAGCCATGGAAGTTATACCACAAGACTGCCCACAGCCAGTACAGAGGAGGGACCCTGTGGCAGATGTTGACACTTAAACTCCATTACACACAGTTCAAGTGAGCACCTAGCAATTTTTAAAGCCCTGACAAGCCCTCTTCCACCTCATCCCACCTCACCCCACCTCACCCACCTCACCTTCAAGTTCCACTTCTAATCACCATTTCCGTTCAGGGAGTGATTTTTAAAGGTAAGCCTATTTTAGGTCTCCAGGTGCTTCCTAACAATGTAAAACTTTGATGAATGCAAGGAGGGTGGCAGCTGACAGATGTGAGCATGCAGTGAGGCTATGGGGAGGAAAGGATTGGGAGTGCTGGCTTCTTGTGTGGTTTGGGACAAGGCACTTTAGGTAGACTTGCAGTATATATACTAAATAGCTTTGTCAGGTTCTCAGAGGAAGACCTTGTGGTGATATCCTATGAGTTTGATGACAGGAGAGAAATTTCTCACCTAAGGGCCCCTGATTCTTTCTGAGAATACTGAAGATAATAAAATCTTCAAAGACTACTATACCTGTGACAGGAGCATAAAAGCCCTCAGCTCTTCTTGTGATTAAACATAGACTCTTTACTGGGCTTTTCAAGTAGAGACTGATTGGACTGCTTGGGTTAAGAAGGAAAATTCAAGTAATTCCTTCCATTGATATCATTTGTATGCTTAATCATTAAAATGTACTTAGAAATATATTTAACAGAAACATATTTATACATATAAAATACACACCTGTATACTTTTACTTTTAAAGTTGCTCAGAAAGGAAGGGAAGGCTAGAGGATAAAGATTCTGAGGTCCAAGGGAACTTTGACATTCCTTACCTAATTCATGGCAGAATGTAGATTAGAAGAACACAGGCCTTCTGAAGCCCACCACCATGCTTTTAACCATTCCTTCCCTGAGACAGTCAGGAAAAATAAGCACTACTACCAGAGGAGGTGTTATCTCCTGAGTTGAATCACAGGTACAGAGTGGACCAGGAGCCTGGAGCTGCATCTCAGAATGGGGAAGACAGGAGGATGGAAGAGGATGTGGCTGAACTTACCTGTGAGATGGGAGAGGAGAGAGACAAGGATGAGGCATGCTGCGAAATGAGCCATGTCGTTTTCTTGATGTCAGTCACTGAAATGAAACAACTTCCTTCACATCTCACATCAGATCCTCAGCTGGGGATTTAAATAAGTAGGAGGAGTCATGGGTTATGAGGGTTATGATCCTACATTGAGAATATGTCGTCGTGTGTGTAACTCAAGTCTGGGCCTGGCAAATGCTAGGCAAGTGCTACCACTGAGCTACATACCAACCCATCTAATTTTTTTACATGCCCATCCCAATGATAATAAGGTACAAAATAAAGGAGGGATAAACTAAACCCAAAAGGTGGGTGGTAGAGCTCTTATTTTCTATTACAGATAATTCTAGGCAGATAGTGGCAGAATCAAGTTGAATTATATCTAGAACATCTGGTTGGTGTCCACAGAGAACAGGAGAATTGTTTTATATGGGGAAGACAGAGCTACTATAGAGCTACTACATTCTGGTGACAGAGTGAAGAGTGTGGTAGTAAAGGGAAAAAAAATTGGATTTTGTTGTTTTCCTTTTACACTAATAACAGATCTTCAAAATAAAAGAAGCAGAAATTTCTGTAGGGTAAATGCCTAGGAGTCTGTTTGCTGGGTGATATGGTAAATTAACACTTAGTTTTTATAGAAACACCCTTTTCTAGAGTGCCTGTAGCATTTTATTTTCCTGTCAGTATTTATGAGAGATTTAATTTCTCCATATCCTTGTCAGCAGTTGGTATTGTCACTGTTTTTTATTTTAGGCATTTTAAAAGGTGTATTGTGATCTCTTTTTGTGGTTTTAATTAATATTTCTCTAAAAGCTAATGACACAGAACTTTTTTCATGTGTCATTTGCCATCCATATGTCCTTTTCATCAAAGTATTCTTATCTTTTGCCCATTTTATAATCAGAGTCTTTGTTTTTTTTTATTTTTACTGTTGAGTTTTGAGAGGTCTTTATATGTTCTAGACACAAGCCCTTTGTCAGATATATATTTTACCAGTACCTTTTCCTACTTTGTAGTTTGTCTTTCTTTTCCTCTTTTTAATAGCCTTTTGTGAAGCAAAATTTTTAAAATTTTGGTGAAATACAGCTTATCATTTTTTCCTTAATGGCTTATAGTTTTAGCATCACATTTAAGAGTTCTTCACCTACTCTTAGCTCCTGAAGGTTTTCTTCTAAAAGTTTTACAATTCTATGTTTTGCATTTAAATCCATGACAAAGTATGAAACTGAGTTTGAGGTTTTTTTTTTTGCCTGTGGATGCCCAATTGTTCCAGCAACATTTGTTAAAAAGGTAATTCTTCCTACATTGAATTAGTTTTGTAACTTTGTGAAAAATTAATTGGTTATTCTTTGTTGGGTATATTTTGGGGTTGTCTATTCTGGTTCATTGATTTATGTAACATGTAATGATATGTTAGAGTTTAAGTCTGTCATTATATTGTTTGTTCTTTCTTTGTTCCTTCTGGGTTTATTTGTTTGTTTTGTTGTTTCTCTGTTTTACTTTTCTGGCCATCTGTGGATTAGATGATGTTTTCTGTAATTCTACTTTGAGTTATCTGTAGTGTTTCTTGACTCCCTGATAGAATTTTTAGTGACTGCTCTAGGCACAATATTATACATACATACTATATATACATACATCACTTCAACTGAAGTATAGAAAATGTTCCTGTAATAGTTTATTTTATCATTTTCCCTTAGCATACTTGTTTTAAATATGTCATCTACACACATTGAGATGTCATTTTTGTTTCAATTGTCAAACATAGTTCACAAAACTCAAGAGGAGCAGATTAATCTATTATATTTACCCATGTTTTTACTCTTCCCATTGTTCTTTCTTTACTCCTGATGCTCCAAGTTTCCTTTTTTACCATTTCTTTCTGTTTCAAGATATTCTTTTGGCAAAAGAGAGAGGAAGGAAGAAAAGAAAAGAAAAAAGCTAGGTATGGTGGCATATGCCTATAATCCCAGCACTCAGGAAGCTGAGACAAGGGAATCAAGAATTTGAGGCCAGCCAGGGTTACATAGTAAGTTTGAGGTCAGTCTGGGCTGACCTCCTTTCACTATTCTTTTGTAACAAATTCTTTTACCAAGAATGTCCTGACTTTACCTTCATTCTTAGGCACAGAATTCTAGGTTGATAGTTCTCTTCTTTACCACTTGAGAAAATGTTCTGACATATTTTCTGCCCCCTAGTGATTACTGAGAAACTAGCAGCCATTCAAATTGTTTTCCCCTGCAAGTAATGTCCCATTTTTCTATATCTGTTTTCAAGATTATTTTTTCCTTTATCTTTTCTTTTCAGACGTTTCAAATTTTTTATTGAAATATTAAGTTCAAAAAATTTACTTTAGCTCTTCTTTATATTTCCTAGTCCTTTGAGACTTTTTAGTTGTTTTAAGTTTTTAAGTGCTTCATAATTGCTTATTGAAGCATTTTTATGATGACTTCTTTAAAACCCTTGTTAGAGAGTTAGAACACCTGTATTATCTTGTTTTACTCTCTGTTAATCGACGTCATTTCATTTAGTTTGATATTTTCTGGATTCTTGGTATGGGGGATGATTTTCAACACTGTGATGGTAGGGTGGGGAACCTCATTATTGCTGGGCAGTAGTAAAAATACACTCTGCAAGGGCTGGGATTGTAGCTCAATGGCACAGTGCTTGCCTAGAAAGCAGAAGTCCTGGGTTTGATTCCCAGCACTGTACATAAAAAATCCACTGTACATTTGACCTTCTATGACACCCTGACAAACAAGAAAAGGGAGGAACTAGCCAGGCATGGTGACGCACATCTGTAATTTCAGCTACTCTGGAGGTGGGGGCAGGAGAATCATGAGTTTGAGGCCAGTACAAGCAAAGTTATCAAGACCCTGTCTCAAAAACAAAACATAAAACAAAAGGCTCAAATGGTACAGCATGTATAAAGTCCTGGGTTCAATCTCTAATATCAAAAAACAAGAAGGGGGAGCAGTACTGAGTAGCAACCCAGATAGGGAGGAAGTCTAGGTTTTCCACATGACTTTTTCTGGTGCTGTGGAGTCCCATATTTTCCCTATGGTATCTGACTGGAATAAAGTGGCTATTGTCTTAGTAGGCTATCCCTTTTCTAGTCAGTGGCAAGAGAAAATGCTTTTCTTGGGGGCTTGTCATTTCTTTTTTCTTTTTTTAAATTTAGGATTCATTAATAATCAAGGGGGTTTCATGGGGAAATTTCATATATGCATACGGTGTATTCTGAGGAAGTTCTTACCCTCTATTATATTCCCTTAAGCCTCCCCCATCCCTCCCTTTTGAAAACAGTATTTGGTGAGTTTCCACATGCTCTCTATACATATATAAGTAACAGACTTCAATCCTCTTTATCCCCACATATCCTCTCCATTTTCCTTTCCCCTCCTATTAAGCGCCCCCCTACAAGTGTCCCTTTTGCATTCAAGTCCCATTATTATTATTTTTATTATTTTAGATCTAGATTCTGCATATAAATGAAAACATGTGATATGTGACTTTTTGAGTTTGACTTATTTCATGATCTCCAGTTCCATCAATTTCCCTGCAAATATCATAATTTCATTCTTCTCAATGACTAATACTGCATTGTGTATATATATCACATTTTCTTAATCCATTCATTGGTTGTTGGGCACCTGGGCTGATTCCACTTGGCTATTATGAATAATGCTGTAATAAACATGGGTGTGCTGGTGTCTTATACATTGATTTAAACTCCTTCAAATATATGCCCAAGAGTGGTATAGCAGGGTCATAAAGTAGGTCTATTTTTAGCCTTTTGATGAACGTCCAAACTGACTTCCATAAAGGCTGGGCTAATTTACATTACTGGCAACAGTGTATGAGAGTTTCTTTCTCCCACCTGGCTGCCTCCCTGCCTCCCTTATCCTCACCAACATTTGTTTTATTTTGTTTTTTTCTTGATTACAGCCATTCTGACTGGGTGAGATGGAATCTCAGTGCCATTTTGATTTGCATTTCCTTTATGGCAAAGGATGTCAAACATTTTTTTCATGTATTTATTAGCTATTTGTACTTCTTCTGAGAACTGTCTGTTTAATTCATTTGCCCACTTATTAATTGGATCATTTGTCCTTTTGATGTTTAATTTTTTAGCTCTTTGTATAGTCTGGATATCAATTCTTTATCTGTTGAATAGCTGGCAAAGATTTTCTTCCATTCTGTGGGTTGTATCTTCCTTCTGGTAATTATTTCCTTTGATGTATAAAAGATTTTTGATTTGATACAATCCTGTTTGCCAATTCTTGCTCTTATTTCCTGGGTGATTAGAGACCTATTCAGAAAATACTTGCTTTTGACTATATCTTTAAGAATTTTCCTTTAGTAGTTTTAAAATGTGTTTAGATTAAGATCTTTGATCTGTTTGGAATTGATTTTTATACAGGGTGAGAAGTACAGGTCTAGTTTCAGGTTTTTTTTTCTTTTTTTTGCACGTAAGTAACTGTTTTTCCAGCACCTTTTGTTGAAGAGGCTGTCTTTTCTCCAATGTATGTTTTGGGCTCCATTGTCAAAAATCAGATGGCTGTAGTTGTGTGGATGGGTCTTCTGTTCTGTTCCATTGGTCTTTATGCCTGTGTTTGTGCAATAGCAAGCTGTTGTTACTATGGTTTGTAGTATGATATAAAGTCCAGTATTGTGATACCTTCAGTGTTGCTCTTTTTTTGCTCAAGATTGCCTTGACTATTCAGGGTCTTTTGCACTTCCATACAGATTTTAGGATTGATTTTTCTGTGTATGTGAATAATGGCATTAAGATTTTGATGAGGATTGCATTGAATCTGTAGATTACTTTCAGTAGTATAGCCATTTTGGCAATATTAATTCTGCCAATCATGAGCATAGGATGTCTTTCCATCTTCTGTTATCTTCAATTTCTTTCTTTAAGGTTTTATAGTTTTCATTACAGAGTCCTTTCTCCTCTTTAGTTAGGTTTATTCTTGTTATTGCTGGTTTGAGGTGTTGCAGGCCGGTGTTGAGGGTCCTGGCCTTTACAGGCCA